GAAAGACAGGCTTCCTGGGAATAAGGTTCATATACCAAATGAATGCATTCTATAAAATTCTGCACCTTTGCTAGAGGTGGGTCCAAAGTTTGGCTCTTAATGCTTCTAGCAGCCAAGAAACACAGGATGCCTCAGTAGTCTATATGATTCAATATCCTGAAGATAAAAACAAAAAGACATTGAAGTACTATTTCTCCCTTGGTCTTCATAAAAGGGATGCTATAATATAGCAAAGTCCTCAATAATATCTTTGCAGTTTGTCAGAGAGCTTGAGAAGGCACTCCTCATGACAATCATCACAGGGAAAATGTCAGCACACAAGTTAATAAATGCAAATGCTGGAGAGGAAGACACCAGGACCAAGGAAGGGGTCCAGGTGCACAGTTTCTTGCAAGTGTAGACTTAACAAAAACGGAGTTCATTCTATCTAGACTGTCCTTAAATATAAAGGCTTCATATGTCACTTGCCTTCAAAATCATAAACAAAACTTGATGTGTATGTCCATTTTTCTGATGATATGTCCGTGGTTTCATAATATCCCCAAAGGAAAACATAACTCAAGAAAAGTTAAACCTCCATTTAAAAAAAAGTTAAGAACCACTGGTCTAAAGAACTGTTACATCTGTTAAAAGTTTATCCTCCGGCAACCCTCAGTAAGCAGTTTCTCTTCCAAGATTCTGAGAAGTACAGAGCCTCAAGATTGCAGCCCTGAAGTACCGTTTTCTCTGATGTGAAATGTGGAAATTTTTAAGCTGTGTGTCAACTGTCGAGATACATATGACCTTTCACACAGTAATGCCCACCAGCATTCAGAGCACATAACAACCCATTCTTCTAGTTAGATTTCAGTTATGAGTACTGACAAAGCTGGCTCAAAGGATTGATGATAGTTCTTCTAGATAGTATTAAAACTAACCCATGGATAAAGATTGCAGTTAAGCACAATACCAATCACTTTCCTAGATAAACATTATTTTTGAACTTTGAAAATAATAACCTTTGTATATTAATTGATACTATCGGAGCTTCTTCCCTTCTTTTTTCCCTTTTGTTGTTTTAATCATGTTATACAAGAAAACAATCACTGCCACAGCTTTAGAGACAAACACACACACAGACAACCATCCACTCATAGTATCATGGCTAAAATGTCTCACGAGTCCAAGAGCATCAAGTGAAGATGTTGGCCAATAGGACTGTGGGACAGGGCTCTTTAAGATCTCATGCATCTAAATAAAGTCACAGACATCCAGAGTCTGGTGTTCAGCACAACAAATCCAGAGCCATATTTTTGTCAAAGAATCCACAGTTGAACAAGCTCCAGTGAACTAGCACACACTAACCCACCTCACAAGAGGCTAAAGTACAAATCAGAATAGCAATCTATTACTAAATCACAGAGAATATTCCTTTTCACTAACCAGAAAATTTGAACCTAATGCCAGAGTGCTGCTTTCTCAATGTCCACATAAATGGAATCCTAAACTAGTCAACAGCAGTTAGAACAAAGAGAGACAGAGAATCTGGGGGAAACCTAATGGAGTTTCCTCACCCAACATACGTCTTTCTAGTGACCAAAGCAGGGGCTCCCGCAGGTACTGTGCCCTCCCTGGATATTGCTGCCCCAACACGACAGACTTCTCTGTCACTGAGCTTTCTTCTCCATTAAATACTTCCCTAGATAGGGCATAATATAACTGATGAGCATATGACTTATGTGTAATATTCCCCTCATTCTTTAGATAAGAAACTCCCAGATAAAGCAGCTTAAGCAATTTGCTCAAGGTCATAGTTAGTATAAGGCAGAGCAAGATCTCAAGTCAAAGCTCATGCTTTAGCTGGGCCTAGTGGTACACACCTGCAATCCCAGCACTTGTCAGGCTGATACAAAAGAACCTCAAGATCAATCGTTTGAAATGGGGGCGGGTGCGGGGGAAAAGAGTATGAGAGAGAGATCATGGGGATAAGCCTCACCAACATACAATGTAAGCACATACATTAGCTTACTAATGTTTACTAGTAACTAATATATACTAGTAAAAATGCTTTGAGAAAAAAAAAAAGAAAAGAACCTCAAGTTCCAGGCCAGCCTGGGCTATATAGGAAGACCCTGTCTCAAAAAAATAAATAATTAATTAATTAAACACTGTTTTAATTTTGCAGTAAATGATGGCTCCACAGTGTTCCCCGCCCCCCCGCTACCCCCAGCTGATTCAAATGCCCCTTATCTGTGTTACCATAAGCACACCATGGCTAATAACTTTTGGTATAAGCCATCTATCTGTCTCATTAGAATAAAACTTCTTGAGGACAGACGTTATAACTCAGTCACACTGGTATCTCCAGAGTGCTATCTATGTGTATCTAGGTAAACAGACAAACCAGTTTGTCCAGTGCTTTAATATAAAGATCAACAAACCAAAGGGTTCAAACTAACCTTAGGATGGTCACAATTTCTCCACGCAGTTCATAAAAAAAATGGTTTGAAACGTATGTAAAAGGATACACAAGGCCCCTTTCTGAGTCTAAACAGGACTGTGACTGTAGATGGGCCCTGATTTTTTATGGCCTATCTTATCAATGTGGATTATTACAAATAAAATTAAATTCCTCATTTATCCTCTGGGCCACCCTAGAGACAGCATATATATACAAATAATAGCGATTTCAGAAAAGTCTGTTTCTTTTCTGAAAGGATATAACTGTCATCTGTACCAAAAATCAAACAGTGGCACCCTCCTCTGGTGGATGTTAAAGGTACCAAACACAAAAGACAAGAACTAGACCACACATTTTTTCAAATGATATACAAAGAAAAAGTGTGAGAGAAATAACCCAAAAGTTTTTGTTATTATCACTTGTAATAGCAACTAAATAACTTCTTTTATAACAGTTTCTTGTTTTTCATTAAAACAAAACCAAAATGAATGAAAAGAGGTTATAGAGAGAACAGACATCCTATTTTTAAGGATACTGGTAATATTAATTATTTTGCAAACATAAAGGATTTTAACATAAGGCACAATGAAGAGTATTTCATAGTTTGGCTAAAGATGGTCATTTTTTCATTTAATGTAAAAATGTAATGAAAAGCCAAGTACATGTAAAATAGTTTTAGATAAATAAATGCATTTGTCACACCCTTTTCTGGATGGTACATTTAGCACAACACACTACTGGAAAGTTTTCAACCTGAGCACCTGTTTAGATCTGCAACTTTCCAGTTTTAGAAGATCAACTTTAAAAAATATTTAATCATCCAATCACAGATACAGGCTTAAAACATGCCAATCTCTATCACACGCAAACAACCACAACCCGAAGTTATACAATGTTAATATCGCATCAAACTCTTAAATTAAAAGTGAACATGTACTTCCTAAAACCAGAATCACATTATCATCAACCATTTGATATTAAACATATTAAATATAAGCTTATTAAATGATTTTCAAATGACAGAATTGATGCTTCCTTCACTCTCACTGAATCTATGCACACAAAATGAAAATACAGACAAGCTCGCTCAAGACAAGTAAACAAACAAGTCAGTCATTATACTAGAAACCCTGTCACCCAGATATGTTTTTGGCCAAGTATGCAGTGTCTCTTCCCTCAATTAACTTCACATCTTTCATGTACCCTGTGGTACTACAAAATTACAACTAGTGAGAAACTTTCATTCTGAAGGACAGAATATAAAAAGGCTAGGCTAGATGGAAAATTGCAAAAACTGATTTCAGTTTTATCACATAAGTTTTTCCTACTGTTTGTCAACCTCTGCGAAGTTGCTTCTATGAGGAAGGCCGACACAGTACCATGGAAAGATTTGCCTGGTGGGTGGAGAATGCAGATAAGATAACCAATTGAAAGCTTTCTTAGTGTTTATCCAAAAGCAGGGCCCAGGAACAAGCAAATGCCTGAAAGAGAATGACTCCCTAGAGTTCCCTACTGCCCACCCCACGCCCAGAGGACTGGGGGGAAGGAGAGATTGGGCTGAATGGGTGAGGGGAGGGATGATGAAAAAGAGGGAGAGGAGGTAAGAATAAAATGCTCCCAAAAAAGAGAAAATGGAATAGGAAGCAATGAAACTTTGTTACAAACTGTCAGATTGAGAAAGACAAGGTGACTGGCCTGGTGCTCTTTGGAGCACGGCTCTGCAGTCACATTTAACACACTTCGCCTGGGCCCAGGCCCAAGGACAGGAGCCAACATTCGCCCGACCTCCATGAAAACTAAGCCCAAGCATGCAACCCGGGTGCTACAGAAATGTAGGAAACCTAAACAGACTTTGAGCCCCATCTTCTGCTCCCAGATGAACCCCAAACAAAGGAGCCAAGATGCAAGGAGACAGCTAAGCTCCCACGCGGGCCAGGGCTGAGATCAGTGCACCGTCTGCTCTGCGGACATAGCCACCTCTGCAAAGGCCAGGGGCATTTCGGTCCAGCGCCCACGATCCAGATTAAACCAGCGGCCAGAAGGCTCTCGGGTTAACTGGCCCGATTGTACTTGGAAAGTTGACAGAGTTGGAAAGAAGCGCAGAGCTGCCCCCTTGGGTTCTTCTCTGGGGCAAAAGGGATGGCAAGGCGTGGCAGCTTCCTTCACCCTCACTGAGTCTCGCACTAGCCTGACTTTGAGTGCGTCAAAGATTCTGTCTTCTTTCTTTGCAGCTAATTCCCCCTGAAATCCTAGGACAGGGGCGCTGAGGCCCGGATGCAAAGTTCACTGAAAATACATTAATTCTCCCCGAAAAACTAGCATAGTCATTTGCTGAGTTCTGGCCTGACGAACCTTATATTGAAACGGGGAAAAATATGCGGTGGATGTCTTTCCGCTAATCTGGACCCTCGGTCCCAACAGGTCTCCATCCATAGGTGTTGTGGACAACTTGAGTCGCATTTGTCCCGTCACCAGGTTATTACTACTAGGCTCCTCTCACCTGGGTCCTGCCCCACCGCGCACGCGAGGTCCTGTCATTAACACACACACACACTCCTACCTCGCCGCCGTGCCCATCGAAGATCCCGAAGATGGACGGGTGCGTCTTGTTGGCCAAATCAGTAAGAACTTCGAAGCGGTCCTCCATGTGGTCTCTTCGGCCCTGGATGGAGTACACGGCCACGTTGTGACTCTTGAACTCCCAGGTCTTGGAAAACTCGGCATCCAGCACGTCAAGCCCTCCAAGTCGATCGTTCTGCATGATCTCGGCCACCTTGCCCTTTACCATCTTCACCGCGTCCCGGCTGGACTTAACGATGGTCTTCACTTCGTCGGTGTGGAAGAAGTAACTCCACAGCGCCAAGCTGATGCACAGCAGGAACAGTGTCTCGGGTCTCAGCAAGAAGTAGCGCATGATGCGACCCAGCAGAGACAGCAAAGTCATTGTATCCTCTATCATTTATTATCACTAGAGCCCCAACCACCAACAGCGACGCGCGCCCCGAAGGCTCGCCGGGTCCAGAGCACTGCGGGGACGGCCCGCGAGGAGGAAGGCGGAACAGCAGCCGAGGGTGCGGGTAGGAGTAGCGCGAAGCCGGGCAGTAGACGAGCGAGCAGGCTGTTCCAAATGGGGACCGAGAGCCAAGGCAGTTTCCCTTTTGTCTCCCCGCCTGGGTGGCCCGAGGCCCGTGCCTACCGCCTGCGCCGCCTCCCCGCCTTGCGCTCTTTGTGAGACAGCAACGGCGGCGACGGTGCAGGAGCGAAGGCGACAGCAAGCAGTCGCGGGTGCCCGGTTGGACGAGAGGAATGAAGTTAAAGTTGTGCCCGGCGGGTCCTCCGCGGTGAGCGGGGGAGTTCGGGGAGCCGGCGCCCGCGCGGTCCCTCCTGGGGTGCCCCCTCACGGCTCCGGGGAGCAATCGGCAGGTGAGGAGGCGCAGGGCTAGAGAGCCCGGCGGGCAAGGGAAGCACGTCCCCTCGGTCGCCGCTCCAAGGGAGCGCGGAGACAGCCGAGCGCTCCGATTCCTTCACACACCTCGGGGGGCCCAGGAGAATAAAAGTTTTGCGGGAGCCAGGGCAGAGGCAGAGAGACGCCGAGCCCAGCGTCACCGCACGATCGGAGCTGAGCCGCAGGCAGCCGGCCCGGCTCTGCCTGCCTCTCCCCAGCACCTCGCGGCTCGACTCAGCTCGGCTCGGCTCGGCTCCTCTCGGCTTGGCTCGCGCGCTCTCCTAGCGCCCCAGCTCTCGCGCGCCGCGCCCCGCCCCGCGCGCACTCGCCCCGCCCAGTCCCGCCTCTTGCGCGCGGATCGAGACCCCGAGGTGCTCCCACCGAGCCGTCAAAGACAGAGGAAGCTCCGCTGCTGCTGGCGCGCTCCGGCAGCTGGGCGGTCCAGGCGATCCGAGGGGGGAGAGAAAAGGCACATCCGCTGCCACCCTGCGGGTGGTCTTTCCGGTCCTTTGTGCGGGCTCCAGGGACAATACAGCACTGACCAGAGTAGACTGAGCGTTGGTTTCCAGAGAGCCACTGCTGCTCGCTGGGAAGACGAGAGCCGCACGTAAGCGTTTCCCCCTTCGGCGGGCTGCAGGATGGTGCGATCTCCGCCTCGCCAGGCTTAAGGCAAGCGAGAAGGGACTCACTTCTGCCAGCTCGCAAAGCGAGACCGAGAGATGTTTGCTGTTGGCAGCCGCCTTGGCGTTGTGCAACTGAGGCCTTCCAGGATCTCCCGAGACAGAGAGCGCACTTGGGCCTAGCAACTTCCTTCCTCCCGAGAAGAGCAGAATGGGGGGACTTGGGGCAACATACAAGTGCAGTCTGATGATCACCCCGGAGGGCGAGGAAAGGCTGACCTTGGAGAACAGACGCAGTCCCTGGAGCCGGGGACTCAGCAGCCACCAAAGCCTTCGCTGGTCGCAGCCCTGGCCCGAGGAGACACAGAGCTTCCAAGTGCGACCCTGGCACGCTCCTGACCCTGCTCCGAAGTGACGACCGACCACCACCTCCTCAATCGCAGCAGGAGAAGGTGAAGTGGGGGCGGGAATCCCGGTAACCGGAGGTGAGCAGCCTCAGGGAAGAGTACGTGCTTCCAGAAGTCTCAAAGGTAGCTTGAAATGTGAGCAAGTGTCAGTGGGAATCAGTGCAAGAAAAGTATGGTGTGCGAATCAACTTAGAATACTAGAGCGCTACCCCTGTCCAGGAAGATCAGTGCTGATCTGCTGCTTCTGGCCTGCTGGACTGGAGAGCAGAGACCGCCCGCTCCCAGCCCAGCTCCTGTCGGCCCCCACCCCACACTTTTGCTTTGGTATAATCCCGATTGCTTTTTAAAAAAATGAAAAGTCGATACTGGAAGGAAATACACCTAAATGTTCACGGTGGCTAACTACAGTGGTACAGTAGATGTGATTTGCATTTTCTGCTTTAGATTTTTGTCGGTTTCTCATGACTTTGCCAAGATTTCTACCAAAAAGCATAGATTTCCATAAACGGGAAGAAAAAAACTTAAGCATTTAAATGACAAAAACAGTATTATCCCGATAATTTTAAAATGCATAGAAAAGACAGGAACAAAACAATATGTTATTTTTGAAAACTACGATATGGCCTCCAGTATATGGTTATGGACATGGTTTTCAATTTTTCCAGTTAATAAAGAAAATAAAACAGTTTAAAATAATTTAGGCTGAAGATGGAGCTCATGTGGTAGTAAAGCACCTGCCTAGCAAGCATGAAGCCCTGAGTTCAAACCCCAGTACCACAAAATTAAAAAAAAAAAAAAGATTAGGTCACTTATTCAATAATCAAGAAGTTCAAAATCAGATGATAAATTCAGAATCCTTAGGAACTGTAAAGAAAGGTCATGCATTAGTGTCTCATGAAGACAAGTTAACATTTCTTACTGTAAATTAGCAAATCACTTTTGGGTGCGTTATTAGTCTTTCTGTACATGAAAATGTTTCTCTATGAAAAAAGCAATTTGTAGATAAAGCTGAATAAAAAAAAAAATCCAGAATTACAAGTCAGACTTGTACTGCCCTCCAGTAACAATAAAATTCCAAACCCAGAGGCCCACTCAGGCCTCAGTCCTGTCCACAGCATTCCTATGGTGATGACACATCAGGGCTGACTCTTCCCCCATACCTAAGAGAAGAAGAAGAATTACCATACTGGCCTCTTTGGAAGTTAACTAGTAAGGCTTGACTTGAGGAGTTAATTAATAAACACAGATATCCTGAGGAGTCTATGGAGACATGCTTTGACATTTACATCTAAGTAGTTCATTTGTGGGAAAATCAATAAAATAATATTTCAAGCAAACCCTATAGGCATTTCCTATTGCTATTAAGAAATGCATGCAGTGTACTTGGCAATTTTTTAAATGCCTAAATAAGCTTTTTGTTATACTTTACTGTAAGTTTTATGTTAGAGAAATAAAAAGGACTTTAGTCTTTTGCATATTCCTTTTGATTAAAAAGGTTTTTTCCTGTATAGCAACTTATTTCCATTCTCATAACAGTCTACTGAGGAAGACAGAGGAGCTATTGTCTTTGTTTATAAATATGAGGAAAGTGAGGAATGAAGGTGTTAAATGAATATCACAAGCAACAAATAAGAAACTCAAACTCAAGTCTGATCACCAGTTCAGTTCTCCTACATCCACTGATTGCACAGTGATACTGGATAATTCATCTAATTTTTGTACTTCTCTAATAACAGTTCAGTGGATGTGTTACAGAAATCTCAAAAAGAATACATGGATTCTTATTCCACAATTCTGAATGTAACCTTTGGGATAAGCACTGCACTATAGTATTTAACGCACCCATTAAGAATTCACGTAGGACAGAACACAGGTGCAGATAAGTTGTCATTCCTTACATCAACCCCTGTTGCTTAAGTGAAATCCTGTCTGGATTCCACAGGAAGGAAAGAAGTATCATAAAACGTATTTCACACAAATACCTTTACAAGTGACAAGTTAATGAACAAAGCTAATGGCAATCCTAGGTTTTCATGAGGTACAGCAGTAGTGATAAAGTCGTTTCCAGGCAATTACACTTTCTACTACCAAGTAACTCAGGTCAGCCTTGCAGGTCAATAAAGAAGATAAATACATAGCTTTTTAAAAAAAACAACTTCTCAGAAGAAATGTTTTACAGTTGTATCTTTTAAGAAAATCTTAAAATGGAATTTGATAACCAATAAATCTATCTTCTGTGTGATGTTATTCCATGATGTCCTCATCTATTTTGTTTTTGCCACCTTGTAAAAAGTTACAAAAATCAAATGTGATTTATCAACTCTAAATTATGAAACCCCCTGAAGTAAACAGCAAATGGAACTTTTATATGTATAGAAATTCTTGGCATTTTTTTAATTTCCCAATTCTTAGTTTGAGTTGTAGTCTTAAATTTTCCTGCCATTTGCATACAACTATGTATTTGGTATTAAGTAAAAATTTTTCTAATAGTCTACCAATATACACTTACATATATATGTATATATTTAAAAGGTTATATATATAACTTATATGTTATATATACATATATAACTTACATGTTATATATATATCTACATATATATAACCTTTTAAATTACATATATAAAAGAGTGGATGCAAATATTATTATGAGGCACAACCACCATGAATACTACACTGATAAACTCATAACCTGATTGAAAACCTGTACCGTGACCAATATCTTTGTACCAGCTGAGGACTTCTTTCCCTATCCCACCTCCTCACCTGTCCTCCACAGGTAGCCTAAATTTCATGTATCATCTCCTTCCAAAATCTCTACATCCCTAAATAATAAATGTTTTAGTTTATCTTGGTTTTTGAGCTCCATAAAAATACCTTACTGTATATACTCATCTAGTACTTGTTTTTCACTTGCTGTTGTTTGGTTGGTTGGGTTGAGACAGGATCTCTAGGCACTAAGTAGCCCAGTCTGTCCTTGAACTCCTGATCCTTCAACCTGGGGCTTCTGAGTGCTAGGATTACAAGCGTACGCTACAACATTCAACTCATTTGCTATTGTATTTCTAGATCCTCCCATGCTGTTACATAGCACTGCACTTCAGTCATTTTTACTGCTGTATTCCATTATGTGATTCCTCCTTATATGGGTGTTTGAACTTCCAATTTTTTGTATGATCAATATGATCATACAAATGATCATATGATCAATATGATCAATGATTCCATAACTATTTTTTGTACTACCTCTTGGTGTCTGTATGCATGCAAAAGTTTCTCTGGAACATAGAGCTAGGAGTAAAATTGCTGAATAGTAGAGAATAAAAATGTTCAACTTTACAATTTATGGCCAACTCCAGCCATGTTGCCACGTCTCAGATCCCTGTTGGGGACTTATTCTATTTAAAGAGCACCCCATGACATCCTCTGAGGGTTTCCGAGCGAGCGTTGAGCGGACAGAGGGGGCCGGGCAGCCGGGAAAGTCACTAAGCTGGGGAAGTTGTGACCCCTGAGTGGCGGCGCCTGCGGTGACGGTCACGCGTTGGGTCTGAGGGCAGTGCCCATGCCCGACCTTGCCAGGAGCTCCGCGTCAGCTTTGGAACCTGGGGCGTTGTTGGGGACGCGTCAGTCGCGGTTCGGTGACACTTGGCGGGGTCGTCCCACGGCGCTGGACGCTTTTCGCGGACCAGGTCGTTTCTCAACCTGCAGAGATGTCGTCATGGATTTGGGGCCTGAGCTCCGGCTTGGGCCAGTCTCTGGGTCAAGTCCCCGGCGCCCTGGTTTCAGTTACTGGACACTTTTCCAACGTGGTCAGGGAGACGCTGAGGGGGAAGGAGGCAATGGGAGATTTTCCCGACAGTGGGAGAAGGGAATCGCAGTCTGCTCATGCCCTCTTAAGATCTGAGAATGAGCGGCTGAAAATCCTTTGCACCGATCTACAAGAAAAACATGAAGCAGCAGAGCTTCAAATGAAGCAGCAATCTGCAAGTTACCGAGCTCAACTAGAGCAGAAGGAGGCAGAAATCAGCCGTCTGACAGCAAGCCAGACTGCGCTCCAGAATCAGACACTGAAACTGAAGTTGGTATGTTGCAGGAATGGTACAGAAAGTATGACTGACCAGGAGAATAAGACTCAAACCCAGGTGGTTGGAGGAAAGGGAGGTTTGTTAGCAAGCCAGCACCTGGATATCTCCAAAATGGCGCAGCCCCGAGCTCAGGGTGGTTGAGGTTTTATACTGAGAAAAGCAGCAGCAAGCAAGCAGGGAGTGCAGAAGCAGACTTGGCAGTTAGCTGTTCAAGGTTACAGTAGATCAGGTCAGCTCAGCTGTGGACAAAAGCCATCCACAGTTTCTAATGAAATAGCTGGATGCAGGGACCCTGGCTAAGGGGAAGGGCTTTACTTGTCTTTGGTTCTTTTCCCAGCTTTGATCTTTCTCTGGGTTTCCTTATTATTCCCTCCTCTTCTCCATCATAATCCCTTATGACCGTTTTGGGGACGTTATCTAGAGGCAGTCTTTGGTACTGTCTTACTAACTGTAATTTAACAGCATTCATCTGGTTTGGAATGAACCTGGTGAGGTTTGTCATGCAAGGCCCTAGGAGCAGTGGTAAGAGTAACACAGTGAGTGGACCTGCCAAAGTGGCTACCCATGGGCCCAGTATTATCCTGTAAAAGACTGTCTAGAGTCTCCTCACAGGAGTGGAGGGGTACCCCTCCTCTTCTGGCAAATATGTATCACCCAGGTTACTTTGGGAAAGTTGGCATGAGGCATTACCATTTGAAACGGGAACTCAGGATAGAAACAACCAAAAACAATATCACACCCTGTTAGTAGGAGAGAAAGATTGTCAGAAAGAGCCTCTTGACTTAGGCTCTGTCCTGGATTGGGACAGTTACTGTTACTGTTACTGACCAAAATAAGGTTATAATTCCAAAAGAGAGATAGGCAAGGGATGGCAGAACTCAAACATCACCACAGACACTGCCCATGAGAAACGACAGTGCATTAACTGTCTGTCCAGTGGACTCCTCAAGCTTCTGCCGTGCGTAGACTAGTCAGCTTGCGGTTTGTGACTAGGGCCAGGGTGAAGGTGGCTCCTCAGGATCAGTTAGAGTGATGCTGGAGTCCTGGTTTGGGGAGGAGCCCCTGTTTGGGGTTATTTTTTGCACATGTTTTACATTGTTTATATATATTATTGACTAGGCTGGGAAGGCGCCTGGTTACCGAGATCAGGGCAGCTTAAGAAGGCCTTATTAATCACCTCAACACAGTTATTATGGTCTGGAGGCCCTGCAGCTGACAGGAGGAGGGTCACTGGGTTTCAAGTCTAGACAACTTTTAGTTTTACTTGTGGATTTTTATAGAGCATATTTTGGTATCTGACCATCTTGGCATTTGTTAGTCAATATTGTCTCTTGTATTTTATTAGAGTCATTACAGAATGTGGGACCCTAACAGTTATTTTTTTTTTTGCAGTGTTAATTTTTTTCTCTGATATCAGGAAGGCTGTGGCTGCGAGAGCTTGCAAGCAGGGAGGCCATCCCTTTGCCATTGAAAGAAGCCATCAGCTGATGGCATGAGCCTAGGAATTGGGTCAGGACTCCAATCGCTATGTCTTTTTTCTCATGTACATCGAGGAAGAACGGCTTTTTACATCTGGGAGTCTCAGAGCAGGGGCACTGACTAATGTTCCCTTGACAGCATGAAAAGCCTGTTGTTTAGATTTCCAGATTAGGGGCTCTCTTTTGTCCCCCCCTTTGTGGCTTTATCTGTCATGGTGACCAGGGTCAAGAACTTTCAGGGACTGTCTCCTTTATTTGGGTTCTCCTGGGTGGCCCACTTCTTAATGAGCTCCTTGGTGGCAGCCTGGAACATGGCAGAGACCGCTGGTCTTTGTCCACAGTCAGGTCCTCTGCATGGATCTCCTCTATCACAATACCCAAGCCAATATCTGAAGAGTCCCCAGACTCGTTCATTATAGGCTGCCCTCTGTGGCCCCTTTTTTTTGTATTTTTGGGTGACCCTATGACCTCTGGCTCTGTGTCTGTCTCCCTGACAACCCCAGGGAGCTTAACCAGGGATGTCAGCCTTCCTGGCCTCTGGGCCTGGATTTTTGTATCTTTAGAGGCTTGGCTGGGCTTTTTATCTAGCAGCAGTTTTCTCAGCTGTTTTAGGACCTGTGTGTCCTGTGTTCCGGTCTTACATAGAACCCTTCATACCCCGTCTTTGTCTGGGATCTCCCAGGGGATGGCAGCCAGATCCAGGTCCTACACAAAATCTACCAGGGCGGCCTTGGCCTTTTCTTGACTCATGGCACTCACCACCAGAAGCCTGAATTGACCCAGGGGCAGCAAGGTCGGCTGCAGGATGGCTTTGATGTCCACTGGTTTTAGGTCCTCTGTCTCAATAACAGACCAACCTTACTGTATCAACCTTTTGAAACAGTTTTTTATCGGCAACAGTTTTTTTTTTTCCTTTTTACCTCTTTTTTATATTTATAACCCTTTTGTAATAGTCCTTTTTTTAAGTCAGACCAGATCTTATGTATCAGTGTAAGTCCATCCTTTATGTGTTAATTTTTGTAAGAGCTCAGTTAGTGTTGAGCTTTAGTCTTCCTTTAGGATGTTCATTTTATATATGTCTGATAATTGCCGATGCCGTAAGACAGACAAAGGAGGGGGGTGCCTCTCAGTAAGGCCACACAGATGCTTGCCTGATCATAACCCCAGACCATGAGGTCAGGTGTGACTTAGCCAGAGTGGGATCAGCTCAACAGAGTGACTTACGATTGGATGCTAGTCTAATCCCACCATAGGCTATATGTCAATCGCAGTCACTCAGATAGAGCCTACTCAGACTCTGTAGCCTTCAAGGGACCTTAAGGGTGTCCAGCCATGGAGCCACAAGTTTGAGCTTGAAATGCCAGAGAGTCAAGCCACTCAGTCATACATCATTTACTCAGAGTTTAAAACAATCAGTCCCTATTTATTTCCCCTAAAATCTTGGCTAGCCTTAAACCCAGTTGGCCGGAAGCCAGAATCACATCAGCCTCTAAACCAGTTGGCCAGAATCATAATTGGCCCCAGATGACTGGAATCACATCATTCCCAGAGGAAGGGGACACATCACCCTGGAATCACATCAGGGCTCAGCTGGTCCTCTGTGGGGATCAATCCATGCCGGCTCCTATACTGACTACCCCGGGGCTCCTACCTGGTCCAGATGTCTGGTGCATGTCTCCGTTTCACTCCACCAGTTCGAGGACCTAGTCCTTGGCTCTGCAGCCTCCTTCAGTCATCTGGAAGGAGACCCAGAACCTCTGCAGGCTAGAGGGCCAGGGAACGGGGACCCGCTGCCCAACAAGGCGTGGCAGTCTAATCTTGCTGGGGCCTCCAAAATGTTGCAGGAACAGTACAGAAAGTATGATGACCAGTGGGAATAAGACTCAAACCCAGGTGGTTGGAGGAAAGGGAGATTTATTACGCTAGCGGACCAACACCTGGATATCTCCAAAATGGCGCAGCCTCCAAGCTCAGGGTGATTGAGGTTTTTATACTGAAAAAAGCAGCAGCAAGCAAGCAAGTAGGGAGTGCAGAAGCAGACTTGGCAGTTAGCTGTTCAAGGTTACAATATATCATGTCAGCTCTGCTGTGGACGAAGGCCATCCACAGTTTCTAACAAGATAGCTGGATGCAGGGGCCCTGGCTAAGGGGAAAGGCTTTACTCATCTTTGATTCTTTTCCAGCTTTGATCTTTTTCTGGGTTTCCTTATCAGGTACATTCAGGAGCTGGCAGTGTGACAGCAGCCACTGTATTATCTTCATCAGGTTATGAACGCTGTCATCAGGTTTTATCCTTCCATGAAGATGACATGGACTTTGGTGACAAAATTTCATCACAACAAAAACTACAGAGATTGTCCAATGAAGTTTTAAGACTAGAATTTGAAGTTGGCCATTGGAGGCATATTGCTCAGGAAGAAAGAGCACACAGCTCTGAGCAAAAGGAAATCTGCAGACTGCAAGCTATTATTAAACACCTTAAACTAAAACAAAGTCAGGAAATTGATGACCATCAGCATGCAATGTCAGTCTTACAGAATGCCCGTCAATATAAATTGATAGAGATAAGTTGTAAACATGAAGAGGACTTACAAGACTATGAAGAACGAATTGAAGAACTCGAAAATCTTTTGCAGCAAGGTGACTCAGGACTTAACATGACTGATCACTCTAAAATCAATGATATGCAAGAAACTGTTCAGGTTCTATGAACTGAAAAAGTAGAATCTACAAAAAAAACTCAGAGAACTGGAGAATACAATAAAAAGCATAAATAAAAAATTAACTTCTGCAGAAAATGAGCTAGATACCTTGAAGAGAGAACTGGAACAGTTAAATGAGGAACAGAGACAAACAATTGAACAGTGTGAAAGCTTGAAACAGGAATGTAGTAAACGACAGCCTTCTGCTGTGGAGCAGAGCAATTCTGTGGCAGAAAAGGAGAGAATTCTACAGAATTCTTCAGAGGAAGAAGTATTCAGACCACAACAAGCTCTGTCTGATGCTGAAAATGAAATCATGAGACTACGTTGTTTAAACCAGGATAACAGTCTTGCTGAAGAAAACCTGAAACTTAAAACACTTGTTCAACTTTTAGAAAAAGAGAAGTCAATATTGAGTCAAGAAAAGGAAGAACTTCAGCTATCATTCTCAAAACTGAGAAATGAATATGAAGTAAGTCAAAGCACAGCTACAAGAAACCTGAATTTGGATTTTGAATTGCATGACTTAAGATTTAACTTGCAGGCAAAGGAACAAGAACTGAATCAGAGTATTAATGGTAAGGAAATACTGAAAGCTGAGTTGGAAGACCTGAGCGTGTAAAACCAAGAAGCTACAAAGCTTGTGATTTCATTAAAAGATCAGCTATCAAAATGGCAAAATGAAGAGAATAGTGTTATCAGGAAACTGAAGCAAGATCTACATGATGAAAAAAAGAGTTTATCAACTTGAGGATGATAAAATGAAAATCGCAAAAGAGTTAGATGTGCAAAAAGAAAAGTTAATGCACAGTGAACTGGCCCTAAATGATTTGCATTTAGCCAAGCAAAAGCTTGAAGGTAAAGTAGGAGATTTAGAAGATCAGCTGAGTAAATCACAGAAAAATAACTTAAACATCCAGAGGGAGAAACTTGAAATTAAGAAACACATTAGACAAAATGAAGAGGACCTATCCAGAGTCAGAAATGAGTTAACTAAGTTCCTTAATCGAGACTCCAACAGTAATTTTAAGGGTGACTTATTTCAAGACAGGAAAGATGAATTTAGAACCTCAAAGCAAAATCTTTCAGAAATAGAATAGCTCAATGAAAATTTAAAGAAAGCTGCTTTTGATCTCCAAATGGAAAATGAGAAGTTAGTTTTAGCAGGTGAGGATATAAGACAACAGTTGGAAGAATCTATTGCTGATAACAAACAGAGTTCTCTGGAAAAATGCACTGTTGCAGAGACTCTGGAAAAGGAAAAAGAACAAATAGAAACAGAATTGTGTCTGGCTGAAAAGAGGCTTTTGGAAGAAACAAACAAGTGTAAGCAGACTGTTGAGGAACTATCAAATGCATGTAATCTGAATACCTCTGCCTTACACCTGGAAAATGAGCATTTAATTAAACTCGTTCAAGAGACAGACTTCGAAATAGTGGGACTCAAAAAGAATATTGAGCAAATGGATACCCATAATAAAAAAACTAAGGATATTCTGTCATCTACTTTAGAAGAGCAGAAACAATTTGCCCACCTTATAAATGAAAAAGAAATCTTTATTGAAAAGTTTAAAGAAAAAAGTTCAAAACTGGAAGAAGAATTAGATAAATGTTCTCAGGCCTTAAGAAAAAAGGAAATTTTAAGGAAGACCATACTGGAAAAGAACAGAAGCTTTGGATCTGTGAAAGAAGGAAGCAATCTTCTACAAAAAGAACTGGAACAACTCCGGGAACAGCAGAGTCAAACAGGACCTGGGGCTGAGCCTAAAACCCTCAATAGAACCACAGGAGTAGAATCTGAGGTGTCTCAACTGAATATAATCAAGGATCATCTGGAGGAGGAAATTAAACATCATCAAAAGATAATTGAAGATCAAAATCAGAGTTGGATGCAACTGCTTCAGTCTTTACAGGAGCAGAAGAAGGAAATGGACGAGTTTAAATATCAGCATGAACAAATGAACATTATACATACCCAGATCTTTTTAGAGAAAGATGAGGAAATTAAGAGTTTACAAAAAACAATTGAACAAATAAAAACCCAGTTGAATGAAGAAAAACAGGACATTTGAACAAAAAATTCTGATATTTTTCAAAAAACGAAAGTTCAAAGCCTTAATATAGAAAATGGAAGTGAAAGACTTGATGTACCTGAAGCCAAAATTGAAAGGCTAGTGAAAGGACTAAGAGAACAAGAGTTAGAGATTAAACTTTTAAGTGAAAAGAATATATCTCTAAGTAAACAAATTGATAATCTGGCCAACGATGAGGTCGGTAAACTAACTGAGATTATCCAGCAGAAAGACATGGAGATACAAACTCTTCATGCAAGAATTTCTTCTGCTTCCTACACCCAAGATGTCACTCACCTCCAAGAGCAACTGCAGACCTATGCTAGAGAAAGAGAGCAAGTACTAGCTGTTTTGGAGGAGAAGACAAGGGAAAATAGCCACTTGAAAACAGAATATCACAAAATAATGGATATAGTGGCTGCCAAAGAAGCAGCACTCGTTAAGCTGCAAAATGACAACAAAAATTTTCCACTAGATTTGAAAGTGATGGTCAAGTTATGTTTAGAGAAACTCTTCAGAATTTATCACTTATCATTCGAGAAAAAGACATCGAGATAGATGCACTAAGTCAGAAAAGTCAAACTTTGTTGGAAGTGTTTCAAGCTTCCAGCCCCAGTAATGATGTTGGAGGTGTTACTAATAATCAGTTTGAGGAGCTGCTACAGGAACATGTTAAACTAAAACAGCAAGTAAAGGAAATGGAAGAATGGAAAAAAAGGTGATAACCACTGTCCAAAACACGCAAAATGAGTCCACCCAGCTTCTGGAGGATCTTTATCAACTTCAGGCCCAAGTTTTGGTGGACAGTGATAATAATTCTAAATTACAAGAAGACTACGCTGGTCTGATCCCAAGTTATGAGCAGAATGAAAACCAACTTAAAAACTTGGGACAAGAATTAGCATGAGTTCAGCACAGCATAGGACAGTTTTATAGTGCTAACAATCTTCTTTTAGGAAAACTTGATACCATGTCACCCCAGCTTTCTTCTGGCTCACCATTTACCTCCCAGGCAGCAAAATCCCTTAGAGCAAGTGTGCCTGCTGGGTTGAGTGAGTTTGCTCCTTTTCTTCAAGAAGAGGTAGAAAAGTTAAGAAAATTGCTACAAGAAAAGGATGCAACAATTAGAACTCTCCAGGAAAATAATAACATTTTGTCTGATTCGATTGCTGCCTCCTCAGAGCTAGAAAGAAAAGTACATGAACAAACTGATTCAGAAATTAAGCAGCTGAAACAGAAACGAGATGTATTACAAAACTTACTTAAGGAAAAAGACCTCTTAATCAAAGCCAAAAGTGATCAGTTACTTTCTACAGATGAAAATTTCACTAACAAAGTGAATGAAAATGAGCTTTTGAAGCAGGCAGTAACAAACATGAAGGAAAGAATGTTAATTTTATAGACAGACATTTCTAAACTAAAAGTAAAAAATGAAAAACTAATAGAAACATCCAGAGAAAAGGAATTACAAGAAACTAGCACAAAGTTATCTCTAATGCTTCGAGAAAAAGAGTTGGAGTACCATTCAATGAAAGAGAAGGCCGTTGCTTTTGAGCAGTTATTGAAAGAAAAAGAACAGGGTGAGGCTGGGGAGTTAAATCAGCTTTTAAATACAGTTAAGTCAATGCAGGAGAAGACAATTACATTTCAACAGGAGAGAGACCAAGTCATGTTGGCCCTGAAACAGAAACAAATGGAAAACAGTGCCCTACAGAATGAAGTACAGCACTTACACAACAAAGAAACATGGTTAAAACAGGAGCTCAATAGATTGTGCAATCATCTTTCAGAAAGAGAAGAGTCTCATACTCAGGAATTGTTGGCCATGGAAGACAGAGAGGCTAAGCTGAGAAACAAAGTCATGTCATTGGAGGAAAAGCTAGTCTTGTCCTCTAATGCAATGGAAAATGCAAACCATCGAGTCAGTGTGCATGCAGAGTCATTGCAAGAGCAATTGCATATCGTCTCTAAGCAAAGGGATCAAACTGCAGCTCAGCTCACTGTCGCTCAGGACCAAATAAAGCAATATGCTCTGTCAATAATTAACCTACAGGTGGACTTAGAGCGCTACCAACAAGAGACAAAAGCAATGTATTCTGCTGAATTAGAAAAACAAGTTATAGCCGAATGGAAGAAAAAGGTGGAAAATCTGGAAGAAAAGGTGTCACTATTACAAGAACATTTGGATGAAGCAAATGCAGCACTGGAGTCAGCAGCCAGACTTACAGAACAGTTAGAGCTAAAGGAAGAACAAATTGAAGAACTGAAAAAACAAAGTGAGCTCCGACAAGAAATGTTGGATGATACACAAAAGAAATTGATGAATTTAGTAAATACCACAGAAGGAAAAGTAGATAAAGTCCTCATGAGAAATCTTCTCATTGGTCATTTCCGCACACCAGTAAACAAGCGACATGAAGTATTATGGTTAATGGGGAGCACTCTTGGTATGAAGAAGGAAGAGATGGAACAACTGTTTAATGAAGATGAAGGAGGTGTTGCTGGGTGGATGACCAACTGGCTTGGAAGAGAACCAAAAAGTGTCCCTAACACACCTCTGACACCAAATCAGCAATGTGTGCTTAATAGCTCTTTTTCAGAGCTTTTTGTTAAATTTCTAAAAGCAGAATCTCACCCATCTATCCCTGCAGCAAAGTGTTCCATTAATGACATAAAATCTCTAGGTTCAGGAGAGAGAAAATTGAACACAAATGCAACCACAAGTTTTAAAGGTACATCAGAACCCAGGGCTGGTAGAAAAGCAGATGTGAATCCATTCTTGGCTCCCTGCTCTGCAGCGGTGCCTCTCACTAACCCAGCTGGACTTGGACATGGTGAGCCCGGGCATCTTCTTTTGAAGCCCATCTCAGATGTTCTGCCCATGTTTATACCTTTGCCAGTGCCACCTGACAATAGCACTTGTATTGTTCTAAAAGCAATAGGTGATTGATTCTGAAGCCAGAGACTATCTAGCACTTTGAAGGAACCATGAACACGATGTTTATGTATTTTATCACAAAGTGGCCTTTCTGAAGAAGTCATGTATTTGTGGTGATATTTTCTCTAAATTTAATAAAAGCACTCATTGCTTTTAGAAATTGCAGGTGTCAAAGGAGCAAGTTTTTTCTATACAGGCTGTTTTCCTTCTCTGATTTGACCTGATTTAAGCTAGAAACATTTGATTTATCTTAATTTATAGAAATAAAAAGGGAAGACATAAATACTGGTAGCTACCTATCTCAGTTTTTATTTCCTTCTCTGATTTTCAAGCTCATTTAAGCTAGAGACACAGAGTTTAACTTTTAAAGATTATCAAGGGATTTATTAAAAAAAAAAAAAAAACTAGCAGCAGCTTCTCTGCATAGGGTAGAAAATCACCTGAAGCATATGTTAATCATCTTTAGAGGACTTGGCCTAGACAGGCCTAGAGCAAGGCTCTCCCTGGGAGCTCTTAGGTGCCCTGAGATGGAGTGTGTATTTGGTGCTGTGCAATTGTGTCGTGTGCAGATGTATGTGACCCCACCATAGGCAACATGCAAGTCTTCCAGCACAAAGATCCCTTGAGCCGCCCTTTCCTAGCCAGAACCACACCTTGCTGCTGCCTGCCTTCATCCCTGACAGCCAGTGTCACCATATTTATAACTTTGTTATATCTAGAATGTTGTATAGAATGGGTCACACATTATGTAACCTCTTGAGATGGGTGATATTACTCAGCACAGTTTCCTTGAGATCTATCCAGGGTTGTGGCATGGATCAATAGTTTGTTCTTTTGATTGTTGAATACGTGGTGTGGATGTACCATTTAGTTTCAAGACCTGAGGTGGCTGTTAAAAGGTATCACCTAAAACTATGTTTCCTCACACAAACACAAGTTTGATGTAAGTTACACTGTGTAGCTGCAGCCATATGGCTGTAGTCAGTCATATCACCACACCTGCCACCCGTTGCCTCTGACCGAGGTGTTGCTGCTTAAGGCACAGTGATCCAGGGCTGTGTGTCCCCATCACAGTGGTCACAGAGGGCAGTGAGATCACTTCAACAGCACCAGCACCATCATCTGGACCTTAAGAGTAAGACAGCATTTCTTTAATTTTTTATAAACTCATCATAAACAATTCTGACTTGAAGCTTACTTCTATCAGGACATTCATATTTGTATTCTTGTTGAAGTTGTACATTTAAAAGACATGTCTTGCAGATTTTGTAAATTTAGATATGGATAGAAATATTTGCATAGCAAAAGTGAAAGAGACTAGCCCATTGAACTAGGACAAAATCAATGTTCCTACTGTAGTCAGGAAGGGCACTGGAAGAATAAATGTCCCCAATGGCCCAGGGACTCCCAGAAGCCCCAAGACTAGAAGCAGAGGCCAATTTGTTAAGTGAAAGTATCAGCTGGCCCATGGGGAGGCTGGCCCCTGGGAGGAAAACTTTACTGGGTTGGCAGCCCTGGAGAACTATGAGGAAGACTAAGACAGACCAGGCTCCACTCTACTGGCCCCCCCCCCAGGAGCTTATGGTCCAAATGAAGATGGGGAGTCATCCTGTCAACCTCATGGTTGATATGGGGGTGACATTCAGTTGTGCCTCAACCAGTGGGCCCCCTTTAACAGAAGAATGCAACTCTTATTGGGGCTACAGAGAACTGGGCCTGCTGCCCTTTCTTAGCACCTACACAATGCAATCTTGGGAGTCATGGAGTAAGGCATGAAATCCTTTATCTCCCCAATTGTCCTGTGGGTCTGATGGGCAGAGACTTACTATGCAAACTGAGGGCACAAATAACTTTTGATTCAAATGGTATGGCAGCCTTACAACTGAGAGGACCTAAGACAAGAGTGTTAACTCTCACAGTCACAGAAGAAGAGGAATTGCCCCTAAGGGAAGGTCTCCTGAGACGCCTGAGCTTTCCTTTAAGATTCCAGGTGTATGGGCTGAAGATAACCCCCAGGTCTGGCCCAAAATGTTCCCCAGTAATGGTGGAACTAAAGCCAGGTGCCACCCCACCAGCAAAAACAGTACTTCATTCCCCACAAGGCCCAGGTCAGAATTCAAAAAAACTTTGACAGACTCCTGAAATATGGGATCCTCCAAACTTGCCAGTCATCCTGGAACACCCCCTTACTACCTGTCCAGAAACTTGGGACTGAGGATCTCAGGCCAGTTCAGGACTTCTGGGCAGTAAATTCAGCAACTGTCACTTTACACCCTGTAGTCCTTAATCCTTATATGCTTTTAGGGCTTGCCCCAACTGAGGCAAAGTTTTTTACCTGCCTCTATCTTAATGATACATTTTTCTGCATCCACCTGGCCTCACAGAGCCAGCCTATTTTTGCCTTTCAATGGGAAATATCCCAACACTGGAGAAAAGAGGCCACTAACCTGGACTTCAGAAATTGGCCCACTATTTTTAGAATTGCCTTGGCATCCATGCTTTTATTTTATTTTTTTGGCAGCACTGGGGTTTGAATTCAGAGCCTCACACTTGCTAGGCAGGTGCTCTGCCACTTGAGCCACTCCACCAGCCCCTGCCTTGGCATCCGACCTCAAAGCTTTCTCAGCCAACCAGCACAGCTGCACCCTCCTCCAGTATGTAGATGACCTCCTGCTGGATGGACTAACCTGGGAGGAATGTATGGAAGGGACCCACTTCTTTCTCTTTTATGAAAGGCAGGATACAAAGTCTCCTGGAAAAAAGCTCAGATTTTCCAAAGCACTGTCAAATACCATGGCTTTCACCTGTAGCAGGGACAGTGCAGGTTTGGCCCTGAGAGGAAACAAGCTGTTTGTTCTATTCCAGCCCCTAAGAACTGCTGGCAAGTCAGGGAGTTTCTGGGAGCTTCAGGTTTCTGCCAAATCTGGATCCCTAACTACTCCCTCTTGGCCAAACCCCTCTACAAGGACACAAAGTGAGGGAGAATGGGAACCCTTAATAAAGGGAGAGGAACAGGAAAAAGTCTTTAGAGGAATCGAGGGTGCTCACAAATGCTCCTGCTCTAGGCCTGCCGATGTGATGAAGCCCTTTTCCTTGTATGTCCATGAGAGAAAGGGGACAGCTGTTGGGGTCTTGACTCAGTTACTAGGCTCCTGGTATCGTCTAGTGGCTCACTTGTCCAAAAAGCTCAATGCTGCTGCCCGAGGCTGGCCCCCTCACTTGCGTACCTTAGCAGCCACTGCTGCCCTGGTGGAGGAGGCAGACAAGCTTGCCCTGGGACAAGAACTCACTGTCTGAGCTCCCCACTCCATCCTAACTCTCATGGAGTATAAGGAAATTATTGGCTGACCAACTCTTGGATGGTCAAATACCAGATTACACTATGTGAAAACCCACACATCTGGCTAGAGGTTGCTAAGACTCTAAGCATGGCCACCCTATTGCCGGTTGACTTGGGCTCCTTGGAGCATGACTGCTTAGAGGTTATGGATGAGGTTTTCTTGAGCCAGACAGATCAATGTGACCAGCCTACTGGCCATCCGGACATCTGAACATTTCACATCTGAATATTTCACAGATGGCAGCATCTTTATCTGGGACAGCATGCACTTTGCTGGGTATGCGATAGTAACTCTGGACTCAGTCACTGAGGCCTGCCCACTGCTAGTTGGAACTTCTGTAAAAAGGCTGAATTTGTCCCCCTCACATAGGTACTCCAGCTCTCTGCAGTAGTATGGGTAAACATCTACACTAACTCTAAATATGCCTTTACAACCATTCATGTCCGTGGGGCATTATATAAAGAGAAGGGCAAGAATTCTCAAGAGATGCTGTGTGGGCCCCTAAATGGGTGGCAGTTATACACTGCTGAGGGCACCAAAAGGGAGATACAAAATTGCTTGGGGAAACCAGAAAGCTGATAGGGAAGCCAAACAAGCAGCCCTCATGAGAGGATCAGTCCCAACTGCTCTGGCCACTGCCTTGTTCCCATGTCCCTTAGCTGAATAAGACCCAAAGTACACACCACAAGAACATGCCTGGTTTAAGACTGAGGAAGGAAATTTTCTACTGGATGGATGGTAGAAGTTTATGAATGGCTGCATTGCCATTCCTGAGTCATTGGCTCCCTCATTTGTTAAGCAGTTCCACAAAGGATCACATTCAGAGTGAACAGCCCTCGAGACTGTCCTGGACCAGTACTTTTTCAAGCATCTCCAGCATCAGTAAGTTGATATGAGAAAGATGTAGCCTATGTTCCTAAAACAATCCCAGCAGGGACAAAGAGCACCACCCCATGTGCAAAGCGTTGGCAGAACTCCCCTTGAAAACCTGATGGTGGACTTCACAGAAATGCCATTTGCCTGAGGATGCAAATATCTATTAGCATTTGTCTGCACCTTCTCCCCATGTAGACTGAAAAAGCCTGGGAGGTGGCCAGGTGTCTACTAAAGGAAATCATCCCTTGGTTTGAAATACCTGTGTCTATTGGGTTGGATAATGGGCCAGACTTTGTGGCTGAAATGGTACAGATGATGACTAAGGACTTAGGAATCACATGGAATCTGCATATGGCCTACTGCCCCCAAAGTTCAGGAAAAGTATAACGTATGGCTAGGACCCTGAAATTACAGTTGGGGAACTAGGTCAGGAGACCCATTTGCAATGGGATCAATTACTACCCATAGCATTACTGAGGATTATGTCTAGTCCCACGAAGTGGACAGGACTTTCACCCTTTGAAGTCCTTATGGACACCCTACCCTCTTAATTAAAGGTATACAAGGAGACCTCAAAGAAATAGGTGACCTCACCTTGAGGCAACAGATGCAGGCCCTCAGGTCGACTCTCTTGAAAATCAATAACTGGGTCTGTGAGAGACTTCCAATTAGCCTGACAATTCCCACACACTCTTACAGGCCAGGGGATATACTATCTGGGTAAAGGAATGAAATGTCCAACTGCTAAGACCCCATTGGAGGGACCCTTTTGTTGTTATTTTATCTACCTCCACCACAGTTATGGTAGCAGAGATTACTCCCTGGATCCACCACATCCAAGTGAAGACAGCCTCTCTCAAGTGGAAGTGCATCCC